GTATGCAGTTTGTGTCTGTCATGACCATCGACCATGGCATATATTTTACTATATTGCGTTATTCCTTCTTTCTGTTGATGTATATAATGTTCTATCTTTTTTTTTGCCCTGGCACATACTCCTCTCTTTACTTTTTTCATATCTCTCCGCTTCATTTTCAATACATCCAGTTCCGAGAAGAAAAAAGGTCTCGTTGGAATATAACTAGATGTGAGAGATAGTACGCATTGTCAGAGAAAAATATAAACTGTACTGCTTTTTGTTTCTAAGGGAGAGTATATGTTCTTTTTCCTTTTTGAAGAATATAGTCTCGAGATCAAAGGAAAAAGGAATTAACAGTGTTATTATACAAACCAAACTCACGTTCATACACACAGCTTAGAGTATTAGCTTGTGGCGACTCACTTTACTGCGTCAGAGCTACAAATATTGAGATATCATTTGTCGAAATTTTTCTTTGATAGGTATCAAGCTGATCCGTACTGCTGTAAGAAAAACTAAAAGTCATTGATTTTCAACCCTAGATCGATGCAGAATTACATTCTCTACAAAATGGCCTATTAAGTTTTGACTTTCGTAACTAAGAACAGCTTGCAGACTCTTATACAGTTTCCAACTTTCTGTTTAGTTGATGCCCTTCCATATCAATGTATCAATCCCATTCTTGCGTAGAAATGATTAGCTACATAGAAAAGATTGACACTTATAAAAATCAAATCATTTTGAGCATGTTAAGTGCTTCCAAATAGGTCGACAAAAAACTGTATAACAGCGTTACGTTTGTTTTTTGGATTTTTCATCTGAGCAAAGATGCTTTAGAGAAAGTCTTTTTTACTACCTAAAAGCCTGTTCGAAGGTCTACAAGACTGGTTCTAGGAGCATTTCATTTGAAGAAACAGTCTTGCAAGAAATAGGAGTTTTCTCGGTGGCACCAAAGAAAAAGAGTCTTTTTATGTAACAGTGTTACATGATGATAAAACCTTTCTAGACGTCTGCAAGTTCAGCCAAAAAAGGTCGTTCTTATAGGATAAATATAATTTGATAAGCTGTGTGGAATGGTATTTGAGCGAACTCTCTAGCTCTTAAACCTTGAGAGATAATTGAACAAGATTATATCGAAAACGTAACAGCCTTACATTTGAATAAGCCGTATTATACAACTGCTCAGATACACAGCGCCATCGACCTCGTTTTTTATTTGGTCAATATGATTGGTTGATACAGCTTAGTTATTTGAGTGAGTGACTATGCAACATTCAGCTTCGTCATGTGAGTGATAGATATAATATATTAATTACAGTAGACGACATTTGATAAACACGAAAAGGTCAACGAAAATTATGAAAGTTTCCTCAATGTGGTCGATGCTCGTTCGACAGTTCTCCTCAAAGGTGAGTTATTTTAAACTTAAACTGATTCAATTTATTTTAATCAGCTACATTTACGAGGGAAAATATTTAAGTATCTCCCACCCACACAGTTGACAGTCATGTTACAAAATCGGTTTCTGAGATCTGAGCCTAAGTTGTAGCTGATCTTAAGACTGGTATGATTCTGCGTGTAACTGCAGCTTGAGTTCTGATTGACAGCGACTAGCTATCTTGTAGCAGTGACTACAAAGTATGTAAAATAGATGAATATCATTGATAGAGGATCCTACAATTAAAATGTATGTTTAAAACTGAAGATTGAATTATATTCATTAGATATTATACAGTTATTTAGTGTTATATGTTAACTATATACTGTAGACCTTTCAGACTTCCTGAAGGTCTTTTTACTGCAGTAGGACCAAAAACTTACTTGTAGTATACTAAAAAATAACGATCAATGAACAATGCCATTCTTTTTCTAGATTTTTCCAGAATTTTTAATTAAATTTTAATTGACTATCTTATATAGCACGTCATTATGCACCCTTGGTAGATGCGCAAAAATGTTCACTTGAGCTCTTACTGAGATACGGTATCTCAAGAATAACCATCGATACAGACTTATTCAGAGTGACTTGTATAATAAATACTTGTCTTTTAGACCAGCTAGGTTTTCAATAGACAATACAAGCTTAAATACATGCATTTTTGAATTTCTACATCGATTATTTAGTGCTAAACATAGTTCATAGACACTTTTCACTTTAGAGTTCTCATATGGAAACCTTGATAACTCGTGAGGAAACTTTTCTAGCTGCTAAATCGTTTCCGGCTTTGGACTATATTCATTCTATGAGTTTTAGCAAGTGTTGAAAAAGTCTAGAATGACTTGAGTTTCCAGGCCTTCGTTCTTATGATATCGAACTTTTCAACAAACTCTGTAATTCTTCTCAGGTCACGTTCGAAATTGGCTTTCAAATTTTCACTTAAAACTTTGCACAACTAATACTTTTAATAGAACTAGTTCATTGTGAAAGTTTCATGTTTTTGTTGCTTTTATCACTTTTCAATATGCGTTTCTCAAGTCAGAGGCAACGAAGAAGACTAAAACATTCAAAATGAACTAGTTTTATGGAGAGCATTAGTTGTGCAAAGTTTCAAGTCTAAACTGAAAAGTCAACTTTTAAGGTGAGCTGAAAGGGACTACGGAGCTTTATTGAAAAATTTAGTAAAAAACCTATTTTTTAGAAATCTGACGATTAACAGAGGTTAGATGAGTGCAAATAATCTGCATCAAGTACAAGGCATAATTGCACAAAATACTAAGTAATTAGCTACAGTAATTGTAGAGATTTTTTCTGATTCCCTTTTTCTATGTACTGCGCCTCCTCCCCTCAGCAACGAAATGAAACCTAGCCGATTTTGTACAGAAATTTGCTGGTAAAGTCATAAAAAATGAAGTATCTTAGAATTAACTGCAAAATATCATGATTTGAATATAGAAATGGCTACAAATGTGCTTACGTATTAGTTGACTCATTCCAGAACTAGTATCTTATGTCTGTTATTATGCAAATTAAGCCCCCCCCCACACCCCGTCAAAAAGTCACTTTTCACCAGAACCATTGAAACTGAGATAAATTCATGAGGAAATATCCCGTCATCTGCTCTCATATACGCGACAAAAATTTTTATTCGGCACCTCTTTTTCCAAAAATTTGGGAAGATTTCCCTCACCCCGTATTCGAAAAACAAGTCTTGTTTTCAGAAAGTAGGCTCAACGACGTATCTCCAGCAACACTATCACAGTAAGAGATAAAGACAAATATTCTTTGTTTGTTTGAAAGCTTGTGTTCAGGGCTAGCGACTCTCGTGACCCTTTTTTTAAATAAGCTTTTTTATTATCATAAAAGATAACACCTCTATCGGAACAGCGCAATATTTAGAGAGGTTTTTGGAGTCATTGAACTTTCGCTCCGTTTGTTTCACTTAAAAAGTAAGACTTAAAAACAAGAGCCACGACACTCGCTGCATTCTGACATGCTCTTTCAAACAAAAAACAAAATTAAATGTCTAGAATGAAGGCCCACAGATAAAACTCGAACGTACGATACACCTATTTTTGGCCTTTGTTTGGTGAATATTTCTGTTAAACATCGTACTATAGGGCTGAAAATTTTACCATAGTCATGACTCACCAGCCCCAACATATCCTGAAAGTTTCATGCCATTTGGATGTTCCTGGGCTGAGATCGATTTATGAAGGGGGTGCTTAGTCGAAAAATTTTGTTTATAAAAATAATCAGTAAAGAATTCCATGAAAAACATAATATTTTGCAGTTAATTCTAAGTTAATTGATTTTTCATGAAAATATCTGGCTGACAAGAGAGTTACATTATATATATCATGGATTTGTTAAAAGATCGATCAATAGTAGTTAAGATATCGATATTTGTGATAAAAAAATTCTGTAAAAGACCAGTTAGTTCTCATCTAGTATTTAGAACAACAGTTAAATACTATTGTAGAAGCCGAATAGTCAACTCGACTTTTCATGCAGGTAGACGAGTGTATCAATGGTGAACAAATATCTAACTGAGTACCTCAAATGAGACTCATGTCAAAGAGATATGGACAAATAAGTCTATTTGCGTGATGGTCCCATGAAACTGAAAAAACTCAAATAATTCGAACTGAATTATCGTCGTGTATATACATGCCATGATACCGTGGTATCATTCACAAGATTTACTGTTGCTTATCTTGAGCTAATACTATCGATATTCTATTGAAAGAACAGATAAGTTGCATTTCGAATATAATTACTACCAAAGATAAGAACTTTCTCACTACAAATTAAGGAAAGTATTTGACTTTCGAAGTATGTTGGAGTCGACAATGAACACGAGAAGTAGCAGAATATGAATCCTGTCTGTTGAAACAGATAATTGAAGTGGTTTTTATTAGATAATAACAGAATACATTGTTCTTTATCAGAGATTAAGATAGTTCGAGACGTAATTTCCTCTAACCAACCACAGGAGAAATATTAAGCATGTCTTTTTCAATCCAGTAAGACTCTGCATGTCATTAGCATAAAGTCGAACACGAGTCTTATGAAGGTAACTGGGCCATCTTAGTTTGATTCATTTTGGCATCGAGTTAAGGAACCCATCAACAGTTTTATTCGAGCAATATTTTTATCGTACTCTCGTATTAATAGATAAAGCCAATAGCTAATGAGGGACGACAACTACGTTACACGCTGCCCAATGGTAATTTCACATTGGAACAGCGTCAATTTTACGAAGACAATGGTTTCATCATCATACGAAAGCTTATTTCCCCTTCCACATTACAACAATTCCGGTAAGTGAAAAAAATCTCGAGAAACTCAATTGTCAGATATTGTATTTAGAAAACGATTCGAAGATGTTTGCGCGGGAAAAATTCAAGTGCCTGATATGATAATAATGAAAGATGTGCACCATGCCAAGTCGAAATCGAATGTTGAAGAAAAAACTGTTAGCCGAATTCAAGATTTCACATTAGATAATGAGTTTTTCAAATATTGTTGTCTACCAGAACTTGTTCAATACGTTGAAAATTTCACCGGTCCTAATATAATGGCCATGCATACGATGGTGAAGTTTTCTTTTGATGTAAAAATACGATTATTTATTCTTTTTCTTCTAGTTGATTAACAAGCCACCAGATGTGGGAAAGAAAACATCCCGACATCCACTTCATCAAGATTTGTATTTCTTTCCATTTCGACCAGCCGATCGTATTGTATGCGCATGGACGGCAATGGAGCACACATATCGTGAAAATGGATGCCTTGCTGTCTTGCCTGGCACACATAAAGGTACACTGGAACAACATATATATCCAAAGTGGGAGGTAATGAATAAGAGCATCTACATTTTATCAAAATAAAGATACGATCTTTTTTTCTCGAAGGGAGGCGTCAACAAAATGTTTCGTGGTATTGAGAATTTTGATTCTAATCAAGAGAGACAATATTTAGAAATGTGGGAAGGTAAAGTTTCTACAACTTTTGTTATTATTTTGTTGGCATGTTTCATTTAGGTGATACAGTCTTGTTCCATCCATTACTTATTCATGGTAGTGGTACAAATCGAACATCAGGATTTCGAAAGGTATTTCAAGCAAGACTATTTCTTACCAATCAATCTATTTCTGATTGTCTAGATCATTACGTGCCATTATGCTGATTCATCATGTCATTATATTGAATTTGAAGATTTTCAAAAGCCTATGGCTAACGAATACAGAGATATGTATCGCAAACGAATAGATCTTCACGACACGACCATTCAAGTGAGTAATATGAAATTTTAAAATAGTTATTGGCTCCATATTTTCTGTATAGGATCTCTGGAAACATCGTAGTCGACTGGTCCAAGGCAAACGAATCAATCTTTAAAAAAAAAACAAGAATTATTAACCATTTACATCTAGAAGCACATTTCATTGATTCAATTACTCTGATCCCCTTTTTCTTTGAAATCAATAATCAACATTTGTACTGTTCTATAATAAGATAAAAATGAGCATTAATTTAACGAGTTCTAGTTTAAGATTACGGGATTTTGGCGATAAATTTTTTATACGCAGAGGCTAAATTAAATGTATACATCAAATAAATACTTGTGTAGACTATGATAAATGAAAACGATATTATCAAACGAATAACACTGATCATCAAAATTGTGTTGATCAATGTCAAAAAGACATTTTCAATAATGAATTATTCGAAAACTTCCAACAACTATTGTTTTCTGCTGGCAACTGCCGAGTTAGTTTCAAGGTGTGTCTTCTATGAATTTTACGACTGAATACTGTCGATTGTTTAGTGAATGACTTAACAATGTTGACAGTTGAACAGATCAGCTTGCCTTGTTTACGAGAAGATTGACGAAGGTGCAAGGGTGTAAGGTGTGGGTGTAGGTAGAATGTAATTGTTGGTCCTCTCTTCAACACATCAAATCCATGCTCCAATATGACAATGGTGTTGAAATAGATTTATAGTAGCTACGGTGAATTTAGAGAAGAGCTTACGCTTCTGTTTCGTAAGAGTTTTTTCCTATAGGGATTGGGGAAGCGGTAACTCAGCAAGGAAAATCACTAGATGGCTGCAACTTTTAGAATAGCAAATGATTTTAGAGTAGTGTTATTTGTAAAAGTTTCAATCTTCGATGTCTTTTCTGGGCAGTGATATGAGTATTTCAATTTTCGGCGGCGTTCGCTGCGAAAAAGCAAAATTCGTCTCAGTTTGTTTTTTTTTTAAATCATGCTGAAATGGAAAAGATTAACGATTTATCAAAGGTTCGATGTGCTTTACGTGGTTTCATCGAAAAAGAGACGTGACTATTCGGAAGGTTTCCTTGTGTTTCATATTTAGGTTTTTTGATCAACTCTTTTCTTATTCTTATGATACATCTTGTCCAGAATGGTGTGAACTTGATCCATCTAGGCTAAATTAATTAATCATTTGCTAGCAACTCAACAAAAGTTAGAAAGACATACATTTTGTTTCTGAATCTGTAATTCCATTTGCACAAGGCGATAGTCTTTTTGAAACAACAAAAGGAGATTTGTAACAAAGACAAGGTATTTCTTGAGTTGAAAAGTCAATCAGATGTAGAGCAGTGGTTCTTGGTGAACGCTTTTATAATCATTTCAAAATTTTCATCATCTTGTTATTTCAATAATGTGACAAGAAATGTATATATCAATTCTTATGATAGCCAGACATACAGTATGTGCTCTGCAGATTTTATAACTACTTTGTATTCGTGGATTTTGTTTAAACCAAATCACTGACGTCGCTTTTCAGTGACAGAGTCACGATGGTATGGATCATCTGATAGTGAATCAGAAGTTTCAAGACTAGGTAGAAAAATATTAATAATCAATACTGAAGTATCAATTAAATAGACTCGTATCAAGACAACAGTCGAAAATGGAAAAAGTGAGACTAATGTCGATGTGTATTTTAGAGGGATATACAGATCATCTTTGATTAGGTCAAGCATATTCAGCCATTAGAAAGTTTGACTGAGTATTAGATTATCGAATATGGTGGGCAAAACTTTAATGAACTACTCATAACCAGTTTTGTCACATTTGGACATGCTCTGTAAGAGAGACGATAAAAACACTGTGTACTGAATATTAGACAAACTCTGTGACTTCTATGCAGGTCTAGCAAGCTAAATTTTGTCTCTAGTAAATCAACATTAAACGTTTCCATTGCTCTGGAATTAAAAAAATAAGATTTATAAGATAATAAATACATGCAGTATGGTTTTTGCTTGGCAAACTTAACTATCGAATATGCTAAAGGAATATGCTCACATGAACATTGGGTATTAGACATGTAAGAAATATGATAAACTCTTTCAAAATCATTGGACTCAGTTTTATAATATCTTGAATGATTTGATGTACCATATATCGTAAGAATTCCTATGTGAAAAGTTATCTTATGTATTATTTGAAAGGTTAAATTAGACTAAAATTTTATCAAAAAAAAATCTTGTTTATTTTTGCTGAGATTTGCTGACTCATAGTCTAGATAAGAATTCATACATTTTCGAAGCTATTCCAAGTCGTGTTACATGATCTTTATTATCTTGAAGACAATAAAGTCTTACAAAAATAATGTGGAACTCGAAAATATGAAGCGATACTGGTGTATGCATTTTCAACTATCATGCATATATACATTCACAGAACCTATCAACTTTGACCAAGAATTACTAAATAATATCGACATCTATAATAGATCAGATTTTATTTTAACTTGAACAAGATAACTATAGGATTCGTAGCGCATAAGTAGAAAAGCTTACAGTGCAGTGTTGGTATGAGTATTCTCGTCGTCCACATCTCACAACCGCACCTCTTTTTTTTTATTTCTTTCGCATAATTTTTTTTCTCTAGTCATTTAATAGTAGCCATAAATACCCGTGCATTATAATTAGTTTATCATTTGTAAGTATACTCACTTTTAAGTAATATATATGGCTCGCTTCAAGCTTGAATCTTTCTTGTTGTTCGCAAATAGCATTCAAAACATGTAGTCTGTCAAACATCCATTGATATAAGCGCATATTTGCTGTTCGTATGGTTCAAATCAAAAGTTCGTTTCCTTCTTGAGGGACACGCGCTGATGTTGTCTTCAAACATACTCTAAAGTCTCTAAATGGTGACGGAAGCAACATGATGGATCAATAGATTCTCACGTACATTACGTCTTGTACGTGCGCCATGTGGGTCGGCCCACTGCGTACATGACCAGGCGGTCGCTTCCGTAATACTGACGGCGCTTTCTAGTCGCACAAGTGTGCACGTAAGAGTATTGTTAAGAGCGAGGAGAGGAGAAAGAAGAGAAGTAGCAACAGCTTTAAGAGAATGTTTTTCGAAAAAAAAGAAATTTATTATCTCAAAACACACGAAAAGAAAATCGAAGAATAAAACTCATTTCTCCATTAAGCACACAAAAAACAATCGAAATTGTTTTCTGATTGAGAACTGTTGAATTCTATTATTCCCATACTCGACAATATACAGATTGCCGTGTCGATCGACTGAAAAAATCTGTGAGCGATCCAACTGGTTTGTTTTTTCTCCTAAATTGTTGCCACCAACAATTACATTTCCCTGTGCCACTTCCTTGCGCCAACACATCACTTGATGGTTTGATCCATCTGTCACATAGACTATGTCCAACGTATCGACAAATACTCCTTTGGGAGTCGAAAATTGATTCAGAGCATCCCCATAACCTTGATCGCCATCTACAACAATCCGTTATTTCACATCCTTCATCCATGTCGTCACATGATGATTGTTCCAATCCGATACGTAGACAGAATAATCTCGATCAACAAATGTGAAGGCTAGCCAGTTAAGCTGATTGAAACAATCATCTTTTCTGTTGCCACCCGCCACTACCATTCCATTCGTCTCTCCGATATCATATCATCTCACTTCATCCTTTTTGTAATGATAGCCGTAAAGAAATCTCGGATTGTTCATTGTTAATCCGAAACAATCGATATTCTCGATGATCAGTTCTCTGCTTGTTCGATTTCGACGAAACCATCGCAACACTCGTCGATTGCCTTGATCGCCAATGACGAGACTGTGTGTTTCTTTGCCAACAATCACATCTATTGGATAATTCAACTGATCAGTTCGATTTCCTTTTCCGTTACCACCGGCTACTACTTGACCACTGTTTGCATGTGGCTTTCATTCCGTGATACGAGGATCATCTGTGGCAGCGGTGTAAACAGTTTGATCATCATCCACATAGGAACCCTAGGTGTCAACGAGTTGTCTCAATCGGTTGCCTCTTCCGTAGCCTAGAGTGACAGTCACTCCGTTCTGTGGCCACCTGGTATTTGCAGAAATGTTCATGATGGTACCTGCATACAGAAAGACAGAAAATTCTCGATAAATTTTAGCTTATACCAGTGAAATTACATGAAACTCGGTTGAGATTTTCCAGAATGTCTTGGAAACCTCTACAATTTTTGCTAATTATCCAAAATTTTCACAAACCAGTTTCGTATTTTTTTATGTGATTTTCTACCTATTTCTCAAAATCTATGAGCATTGTTAGATTTGTTGAATTCTTTTTCGAGGACTTTTCGGAATATACGAAGTTTGCTTTGACATTGAATAGTTTTCGAGATTTCTGCAAGATTCCCTGAAACTATATATAACTTTTTTGGAACCTTGCTTGGTTTCAAACTTCGCCAGGATCATGGGTATTTCCGATTCACATGACGAAAAAATATGCACTTCAAATAACTTCTATGTTTTGTGAATTGAATGTTGGCACCCACTGATTTTAGAGAACTAGAAAATTACAGTGAAAAACGGTCTCTTGCTTCAACTTCCTAAACCAATTTATCCCTAAAAGTTATAGATTTTGTTATTCGGCCGCTTGTGGAAAGTTTCTGAAAGAGAACAAAATGCCCATAAAGGTATTGCCAATTGCTTTATCCATGCGTGGGATAGCTATTTTCAAATTCTTTTCCTTGCCTACACTCATGTTGATGATTTTCAGCGCTTCAGATATAGTGGTCGAAACACTTGCAGTTGCGGATCCAATTGCATCAGATTGTTCATCATTATCTTCAATAATTTCCTTCAAATGTATAGTATGTAACTCACCATGATGATATAACAGATCTGATACAACTTCAAACAATGTACCTAGCATTAGAATAACTTCATTTTCGTTCGGGTAACATGTGTATGATCAAAGTAATTTTCTAGTATATCACTTAATACTGAATAGCGTACTCTGAGGAGATTTCGTGGTACACAATGAAATAACATAAACGAATGCTGAACACGAGCTCACGCCCGAGCAAGTTATTCTCTGACCTGTTATGAATGTTCGATTGACATCTTTGTTGACACCGCGCCTGGCAGTACTTTTAACTTTGAGCAATTTAGACATCGCAGAATCCAAAAGCTTTAGATATGCAAACCATGAACTAAGTTAAGACCGATCATCAGCACGGAGTGCTTGATTTAAAATACGATAGACACATGCATCTTCCGACATTTCCATGACATAAAGATAAATTGAGGCAGGTTCATCTTTAGTTAACTTGTGGCCATTGGAAAATATACAATTTCTTTTGACCAAGTTAACAAATCTGTTGATTTGTGGCAGAAAGCTATGTAGATTCATTATAAATTCTTCAAGGAATAATAATTTCCATACAATGTAACAATAACATGCCGGCCGACGTTCATTTTCCAGCTCAACATTTGTGAGACGTTTGTCGGCGCTACTCATTGTAATGAACTGATGATTGGTATGTTTTGTTGCCGAGCGGTTTGGTTGATTTTTTAAAAAACCCAAAAGCAATGAAAAGCACAATATCACGTTTTCTGGCTCTGCCTGTTGATTTCTATATACTAGGTGAATAGTTGCATGGCATATGCAACATAGGATTTTACAGCGTCGATGATCAGTGAAGCATCATGTTTTTTTTACACTGTATAAAGCTTTCTTTTCACTTCTTGTTGTATTTTTTCGTTCTGAATATATACCTTTGATCAAAATCAACATCACATCACCTACTACTTCCAATAAGTTCTCTACAGTATTGTTATTTTATCTCATAACTACATATCATACGTACTTTGGTATTTACTCTAGCTGTCTTCAAGGTTTCATATGCAAATAACAAGATATGAATAACAAAGGTGAGAGTGTACCTCAAGTAAATGAATATTCTTCAAGTAAATATTAGTTAACGTGCTAGTATTGATGATTTTTGAAAGTCTATTCCTATTATTTAGTGGTTCACTGTCTTGTAATAGGCCTATAGTTATAATGATGGTATAATTAGCGATGATCATTTATGAAAATTGTTAACTTGTTGCACAAGTTCTTCAGAAGATGTATCGTCCTTGTTGAGAAAGTCAACATGGATCCGATGACTTTCCACTATTGTCAAATATTGCTAAGCAAGGCATTTGAGTGCGGCGAATTTCATGATGACGTTAACATTCATTTCTTTTACAATATGAGCTTAATAAGGAAAGGCTCGAAATTTTGACTCTTAGTAGAACAGTGACCCTACTTATATTGTTATAGAGTACTCTAAGCTCATATTGTTGTAAAATTGAAGCTTAACTGCATTAAGAGATTCAGTGCAGTCAAATACTTTGCTTGGGAATATCTGACAATGATGGAGAGTTGTTGGATCGATGTCGAACCTCTCGACGATAATGATCCATTTTTCGAAGAATTTGATCTACAAGCAAACAATTCTAATACACAACTGTCATCAACTATTTCGTCATAATAACTGAAAGCCTGTTACAAGATAGTGGATTACAAAAACAATAAGAATCGAATCTAAAATATCGTTGAAACCAGCATGTCAACTAGTTTACGCTTCAAGAAAACTAAATTACTTGAGATACAATACCGATTTGTTTGATCTATTTCTTGTTATGTTACGGCTGAAACTTTGAAGATTCATATAGTAATCACCATTGTATTTTTAACACGTAAGAGAAAGATGAAAGACACCGGTTTAGAGAACTTATTGAAAGAGCCAGTTGTCCACTCTATGTTGACCAGAACGACAGATACTATCAAGAACGTTAGATGAATAGTTTCTAAGGTCTTATGAAAGTAGAAATAGCCTCCTCAAGCAAATATGATAATAGTATGCATTTTTGAAAGCAATATGATCCGAGCGGTCCATATCAACAAAAATAAGCTTACCTCATGGATCAACATGTTCTAGACAAATACGTAAGTTCATCGACACTTTTCACATATGATAATACATCTGGTAGATGTACTTGTGGTTGAACGAAGCTGCTGATGGATACTTAGATAGATGTAAAGGGCTGATAGCGCGAGTGCATAGGTTCTTCGAGCACATTTGAGAAAATTGATGACAGTTTATCTACTACCAACGAAAGAATTTCTAGACAACCAAAACCATAGGTTTTCATGTCTAGAGTCTGGTAACGACAGTTTGTTTCGGCTATGTAGACTGACAGAGATTATAATTCTCTACAAAACGACACGTTAGCGTCCTTTCTACAATCTTTCTTGACCGAGATAAATCAATTTCATGGAAAACTACAGAGACAGTTTTTTGTTGTTGTTGATGAGAAAGGCATTTTATGGTTTCCCAGAAAATTGATGCATGTCGGCCAAAAATTATCGTAGGGAGTTCGGAAGTATCTTATCTTGCAGAGAACCTTATGTTACAACACTCTGGGCAGTAAAAAGAAAAACCCATTTTTGGACTCCAGAGCTGAAAAGTAACCGTTTTGATTTTCTAGAAGTCCTTTCTTTGGAAGTAAAACAATTTTTTCATGCTTCTCAAATTCTTGTAAAAAGTGGCTTCCTGTAATCAAATAGCTTTTGGGATTCTTTATACAAATTATCGCTATCAAAAAACCTGAAATTTCACCTAGCCGACTACTTGTGATAGTCACTTTCGATGAGGGTGAATTTGGGTGTTTATGGGTAGATGGATAGAGGTATGATGATTGTATTAGGGTGGGGATGTGGATGTGATTGTAGGTCTTTCTCTGCTCTTCATTCACAGCCACAGCCACCCACTACGTACGGTTGAACCCGTCGAATCTCTGACATTTTCTGCACTCAGAAACGATGACTAGATTCCATTATCGTTTCTGGCACGATTTCTACTAAGCAATACGTCAATCTATCACGACGAATGGATATAAAACAGATTTCGTCGTTTCTAAAGCATGGATCCTGCATTGTCCACAACCCTGATCCTTTAGCTTCCCCTTACACTCTTCTCTTCCCAAAGGCTTGTGGCAGTAGGCTAGTCAGGAGTTTGCCAAGAGGAGTGCACAATATATATAAATCAGTTCATTTTTTCCCTAATGAAACTCAACTAGTATTTAACCAGACTTTTGAATGCCCGAAAAGATGCTCTGATCGTTTTCTTAACTGTGTCTGATACACTATTTCAAATAAAATAAACCGTAAGTCTAAATTCATCTTTGATTCCCGTACCCCACCCCCTAAAAACAGTTTATCAAGCAGTTTGTGACAATAAATTGTTCTATCGCGATCGAACCGGTTTTCACTCCTATAGTTGTATTTAAATCAGCAGTTTGAAACAGTAACAATATTTTGAGACGATTATCAAAACTTTGGTTGAAAAAAATGTCGAAAGAGAATACATCGAAATTTAATAGTTAGAATAGTTGAAAGTTATCCGTTCGGGACAGTATTCGTGAAGCTGTCATTAGCACATGATTAATATTGGATTCGATTTGTGTGAAACAGTGGATTTTATCTTCTTCTGCACATCTCACCCATTCTACACCAACACACATACAGCCACACCCTTACTGGTTTCTCTTTTTTGGTTTTCAAAAACAAGATGATCTAGCAAGAAAGTTACTTGACGGTGATCAACTAATCTATCTGAAGCTTTTTTTCTCATCTGCCATCTGTTTTCTTTTTACATAAATAAATTTTGTTCAATTTAAACTACTCACCTTTTTTAAAACTCAATAAAAAAAGAACATACTGAAGTCTCTGTCCACTTTTTTTTGTTTCGACCATAATTGAAATTACTTTGTAAGACGTGGAAATCGCGTCTATCCATAATTGAGTTGGGTACCCGATCCGGTAGAGAACATGAATTCAGGATGGTCTGAGCTCACCCTTGGCTTCACATTTATCTATATTTCATTCTACCATCATGTGATCTTCAGTGTACGATTTCTTGTTCTCACCATACATAAATTAAGTTCAATTGGTCATAATCATTTTATTGAGTTCTACACACACAAAACTACGCAAAAAAAAAACAATTTTGTCATAACCGCAAAAAAAATGAGTCAACAGTCTAACAAAAAAAAAAATGAAGATTGATTGAGAAAGAAATAACTAACAAAACTATAGTAACATTCACACACGTCACCGGACGCGTATTTTGTTTTTGTTTTGAATAGAAGAGATAAAAAGAAAAAAACGACTAGTGAGGTGCAATAACAACAACAGCAACAATATTTTAACTGTTCCTATCACAAAAAGGCCAATGAACAATTCTTAGATATATATAGATATATATGTATATATATACATAAACTACCGGAATAAGAAAAAAAAAATACAGGAATCTTACAACAAAGGCATTGATATATGGACGAATGAAACGAAAACAAAAAAATATCTCATCACAAATGCTTTTTTTTCTTCATACGATTATCTAAAATAAATCATTCGTTACATTGATTTTCTTTATTATTTTCATTTAATAGTATCAGTTTTTTCTTCAATGAAATCATTCGTTGTTCATCTGATTCAGGTATATTGAATAAATCATTATAAAATAAGTTATCATTCTAAAGATTCGAAGGCAAAATTATATAATTTGTTGCTTTATAAAGAAACTAAAATTACATTTCCATCATTTATTGTTGAATAAATTCCATCATACAATGAATTCTGTTTTGATTCATTTTGATGACGAGCAATCAAGGGATTTTTATTTGTTGTTGAATTTATTGACCAATATAGCCAATACCAAAGTACAGTTCGGATTTTTCGTGTTGTTATACGTAAAATACGTAATGCTTCAGCTAATTGTAAAACATCTAAAATTTCAAGAGAAAAAGAAGTTTATTAATGAAGAAAAAACAAATATAGATAAACCTTTTTCATCAGGTAAACGTGGTTCACCGGAACGACATTTTTCAGTTGCATTATCAATTTCTTGTCGACGTCGATCTTGAACTATATTAATTGCATTAAACCATTCATCAAGAGTTTCTCGTGTTGCTTCAATATCTTGAATACTTAAACATTCTTTAATTCGTTCATGTAAACGAATTATCTATTTAAATAATTTTTATTATTAAAATTAAACGTCAATCAAATTTTCATACTCGATTATGCTCATAATGATATTCAACAATTAAACGATCAACACGTGATGGATTATTTGAAAGACTGAGAAAATTTGTATTAGTAATATCATTAATACATGATGGTGAAGATTTATGTAAAACTTGAATACCAAGTTTTGATTCAGTCTAAACAATAATCAATCATAGATTTGAACTGATTAATTTATAAATGCGAAACAATAGTGGATAAGAGTTTATATTATTCTATTTTAGTTTTACACAACATATCAAGTTGAAAAGCTATATAACAAACATTGATTCTCATAATGAAAAATATTTAGAAATGCTCTTGTTTAATTAATAGAACTTGGTATTGATTTTCGTTCTATTTCGCAAATGCATCCTAGGAACTGTTTTTATCGTGTAGTCGTGTTGGATGTCTTGCACAATAAAAATTTGAATACTTACTTCTGCATAACTATCTCGAATATAATGCAGTTGTTCATAGCATTTTTCAATAGCAATATCTAAACAATAGAATATCATCGAACAATTTCAAATACACAGAATGTTAACTTACGTAATGTATTTGCTACACCAGTTCGTCTAAAATATGAAAATGAAAATTTATTTATAAATTAATAAAATTAGAAAGAAAAATTAGTTTAAGTGTGTTTAATCTATGCTTACAAAAACATTTAAAAAAACCCACGAATATTAGAGATTATATTATTTATATGCAAAAGTTAGACAAAGAAAGGAAACTTAGAAATGCAAGTACCTGTTAGATCGAAAATAACTAAATAAAAGATCACACTAGAAGTATTCATAGAAAAACAATGAAAAATATTTTGTTTACCTGATTTCTTGACATGTTGTCACAGGTGATGTTAAATTAGCATCACTTATTGTTGATGGCATTGATAAGGTATCATCTAAATCAAAGAAATTATTCTAGAAAAATCATTATAAAACATACGAGATGAAATCGACATCATCGATGAATGTTGTCTAGGATAAATTTGTTGTTGTTGTAACATCATTTTATTTGAATTTGTATCTTGTGTCCATTGTTGATTTAATTTTTTATTTTCCTTTTGTTTTAATGAATTAATAAGACGAATATTTGATAGTGGTAATGATGATGAACTTGATGATGATGATGATGACGATGACGAAGATTGTTGGTTGAGATTATTATTATTATTATTATTACGATTTTTTCGATCATTCATTGTTGTTAAACCCGAACTACGTTGTAAACCAATCATCTGACGAAATTGTTGTAATGATACATTTCTTATAAGAGAATTTATACCAGTATGATCACCTTTACGAACAAGAACTTGAATATCCTTTGGAGGATTATGGTGAACAGAACATAAATCTTATAATAATAAAGAAAAATATTACAAAAGAGTAGAACAAATATTTTACCAGGAATATTTCGTGGATGACCACTTTCAGAAAATGATGATAAATTATGTTTCATTTGTTGTGATGAAATGCTAGAAAGATATTTTAAGTTTTTAATTTAAGGAATATTATTACTATATAAGGTTTTATGCAATTGAATAAAGAAAAAACTACTAGTGGTGTTATCAAAAATAAATCGTAGGAAGGAGACTCTCGAGTAATACTCGAAGCTCAAATTCTTTATTTAGTGAAACTCGACCGTCCGTAAGGGGCAGAGAAACCTTATAGTTTAATAGAGGCGAAAGTTGAACCTCTGACTCTTTACGTCACTAAAACACTATAGAAGTTTTAAATTTCAACATGTAAAATCAACGACGACAACTTGAATCGTTAATTGAAAAAAACTCTACAGAACATGCTGTTAGGTAATCACTTCTTTTTGCTTGTGAAGGTGAAACAGTAAGATTGAAAATTTTCAAGTATCTACTTTTTGTATTGTAGAGGGTGCGACTAGCGTCTTCTAGAAGTTTCTTTTTTTTTCTTTTGGACAAACCATATCATTTGAACTAATAGGTTATGAAGTTCAGTAATTGACAAATAAGAATTCTTGTTGTGAAATCTTTTTAAGGAGACTTTATTTTGAAAATTATTGACAATTCATTCCTTATGAAACCCTATACAATTTTGTAAAATGAAAGTTTCATTTATTAAATCAACTTTTTACTTTTTCATTTGTTGTACATAATGCATTTGTTGATCTAATTGTTCACCATTAATCCATGGTGTTGGATGTTGAAAAAATGTTGGCATCATTTCATGTTCTTGATATTCAGTATTTTCATCAACAATACTTGATACCATTTGATTAAGATTTGCTGACCTGAAATTAAAATATTTTGATTTTTCGACTTGAGATTTCATTAAAGATTGTATACCTCATTTCAGTTGGAAAATGAACACTACTATTAAGAAACTTTTCACCATTACCACTTGATGATAAATTAAAATGATCGATATGTCCACTTTCTTCTAAATTCCAAGCTGTGTTATGAATTAAATAAGCTCTTAACACTCGATCATCAATCTAAACAATAAGAATAAAATATTATTTCGCAAGAAAAATAAAACGTTTTTTGTACCATTGTTGATGAAGATGTTTGTAATGGTGATGATAACATTCTTCAACTGTAAAATTCTAAAAATAATAACAATATTAAAATGATTTTCTTTTTTTCTTTGACTAAGTTAAATAGCTGAAAGCGAAAAAAAGAAACATTAATGGTGGTATGTATCCACAACAAAAACAAAACATTTAAAAACTAACAGACTGTTAATTGATTTAAGAATCAAAGAACTAATTTCATATCCAATGAATACTTATTCATCAACATTTTCTTATATTTTAAATCAATAAAATCATTTTTATTTTAAAATAAACTTACAAAAAAATATATAAATAAAGAAATAAATTTTTTATTTAACAGTATTTTAAGTGACATCTACTCATAGTTTCTATTTGTTATTTCAATGTCTTACTTTTACGCTACGTAGTCGATTGTTAATTGAGATCAAACCAATTTTTGAAAGATGTATGTACCAATGTCACCTCCACCAGTAATTACTGCTAATAATAATACTTCAACATCATTGAATGTTGGAGAAAATCCATCATCAAATACAATGTTTGATCGATATAGTGCAGCAGCAAAACGTTATAAATATCTTCGACGTTTATTAAAATTTCGTCAAATGGATTTTGAATTTGCCATATGGCAAGTCATACATTTATTTATAGCACCACAAAAAGTATTTCGTGCATTTCAATATCGAAAACGTATGAAATATTAATTTAGAAAAAAAACAGATATTTATTGTTTTTTTATTTGAAGAAACAAAAAATCAATGGGCAAGAGATGATCCAGCTTTTCTCGTACTTTTAATGATATTTCTTGTCGGTATGAATTTTTCGTATAAAGAAATCAATATTTTTTACTAAGATTTTTATTTTCGAATTAGTTTCATCGGTTGTTATTGGACTTGTCCTTGGAATGGGATTTTTTGGTATTGTCAAACTTGTTTTATGGGTTGTCTTGGTCGATTGTGTTCTTGTTGGTCTTTTAATATCGACTATTTACTGGTTTGTTGACTTTTGTATTTTAATTCGATCAGAAGAAAAAAAAACAGATTCTTCAATTGAATATCTGTTGTGCTTATGAGTCATTATGAAAGAAGCCTTGCAAGGGTTTAAATTCATGAACATTTTATTAAATTTTTCGAATTATTGGAAAGTTCTTTCGAAAAGAATTAAGTTTGAGAATATGCATCGACTGAAAAAATAATATAAACAGTTAAAACAAATTTTAAAGAAAAAAATCGATACGATGAGTAGAACTTTCCATAAAATATAATAGATCTCTAAAGATGCAAAGTTTGCAGCATCAAGTGAAAATTTTTCAAAAATTTCGTCTGAATATAATATCTTTTTGAGAACTTTCTTGCATAGAGATAGATTCTGTGTCTTGATTCTTTTCTCTTTGTAGATTTCTACTCGTATAATTTAAAATTGATGAGCATCGTCCAAGTTTCTTTCACATGATGAGTTCATATCAAACCTACAGAAGCTATACGTGTAGGAGAAAGTTTTTCGAAAATTATTGTCTACAGGAACATTATTGAATGACGAAAATTAGCGAATAAAATTTTTCTCTCATAGCAATTAGGGTACAAAGTTCATGCAGAAATTGGTTGATCAATTTCTCAATAGAGAAATATTCAACTGCTTTTTTTGTTTCCTTTACTTTACCGTTCAATATATCTCACTTTCGACATGGAAATGTCCTATATTGCGTTTTGTTTTACTTTGTTGTGTCCTCCAAATGTGAGCAGTAATAATGCATTTCATGTGCTTGCATTGCTGTTTAGGTTAACCTTTGTTTTGTTTTCCTACTGCACATAACAATGAGTTAGTAAAAGCTCGTTATCCTGCTCATTATCATCCTCAGCTTCAAACCTTTGACTCGCACTTTTACCGTCGTTGGCAGGATCATTACTTGAAGCAGCTAGTACTATTTTGTAAGTGAACAATATCCAACATGAAAACTTTCATGTCTTGGTTCAGTTATGATAAATCGGTTTTGACATGACCAAGTACCAAAACTATTAGTATTATTTGATGACTGATGAAACTAATCTATTTTCTGCATAACGTTAATTTAAATGCGCAGTAACCTTGGTTCTCTCTTGGTTTTAAATATATATATATATATATATTTAAAAGAAAAAGACTTTTCTATTTTGATGGTAGGCAAAGTTTTTATGTTAACACCTACCTTTGATTCATATTAAACATTAAAATAGATCTCTGAATATATTTGGTGATAATAACTTATTTTTGACTACGATTTACAGATTCGTGTTAAAGATATCATTGAATTACTTGTATATTGAACTTAATGATTTCAATTTGATTCTAGGTATATAGCAAATCGATATTTGATTGCAAATCCTAAATCAAATGTGGATGTCGAATGGGCATATTGTTTTGATGTTCATCTCAATGCTGTATTACCTCTACTTGCTATTTTACATGTTGGTCAACTACCTTTTCTCAATTGTTAGTAGAAAATCTAATCTAATAATCAGATAGATATTTTTTTCTTTTTTTTTTCTATTCATAGCATTTGCTGTTTCAACAGGTTTTCTCTATTGTATTATTGGTAATACTGTATGGGCTATTGCAGTCGGGTATTATATTTATATATTATTTCTTGGTTTTAGTGGTATGAAAAAATTAAATAAATAATAAGAAAGGTTTCAATCATAATTTTTCTTTTATATTATTATTGTAGCACTGCCATTTCTTCGCAATGTTCATGTACTTTTATACCCATTAACGGGTCTTCTCCTTACTTATATTCTTTCGATTATTGTTCGATGGAATTTTACTCAAATGATCGTGACATTTTATGAATATCGTGTTGGTCACAAACGATTACCATAATAGAACTAACAAATGTACAGTATTTTTTTTGCTATGTGTGTTATTTATCGTATCTTACATTTTTTTGTTTTCATTTAAAAAAAACAAAGATAAATTTCGATCTTTATTAATATTCAAGAAGAACAAATTTAATTGAAAATGTTTTTTCAGATTTTATTATTAGTTACTTTTTAGTTTTTACATTGATAGCGAATAAGTATAATTATTCGACAAGTTTCTGTTTCAATGTCATGAAAGGACTGTCTTGAAAGCGATGTAATGTGGTCCTATGGTGTAGCGGTTAGCACTTTGGACTTTGAATCCAGCGACCCCAGTTCAAATCTGGGTAGGACCTCTCTTTTTTTCTTGTATTTCTGAACATTTTTTTTCTTTCTGCTTTTTCTCTCACCATGCGTTCGTCAAATCAGATAGAACGATAAAAAACAAAAGGTTATATATTGATAGTGGAAGGAAAAATGACGTCAGTCATCGCGTGCTCTCGCTTATAGAAAAATAAACACGAAACAGTAGTGTGTGTTCGATTCGTCCAATTGTATATTGTGAGAATTTGAAAAGTTGTTTTTCTTTATTTATTTTTTGTTTTATTTATATTTTGAAGTTTAATTTTTCCTGTTCGAACCTTAATCATAAGGATGAGTGACCGTTTCATTACATACGGTCGATTCGTCTAGGGTAGCGAACACTATCTAAATAACAAATCATACAAAATAAAGTCATGTGGCGTTTAGCGAATTGTATTTATCGTGTTTTTCGTAATACAGCTACTCATTATTATGCACAAGATGTCCTTATTCCAATAACAACTGTTTGTAGTACTGACGATGATTCGAATCTGAAAAGGTATAAAATTTATTTCTTCATTGACTTCTCTATTATAATTTTGATATTTTAGAAAAGAAAATTGTTCAATTGTGAAAAAATGTGATATTCATCAAATATTAAATAATCATCGATTTTCATTTAAAAGTATCGAGAAATTAGAAGATTATTTAAAGAAATTTTCTATTCAACTGGTTTGAAATTGATTTTTTTTCATATATAAAAATAATAAAAAAGACTAAATGTTTTTTCTATTAAATTTAGTCAAAACAAAAACCAAATAGTGTTAAACAAATCGAAACTGTTAAACCTGAATATGTGGTTAAAGAAGTTCAATCTATTTCGCCTCCAGAGAAAAAAGAAGAAACTCTTGATTCATTACTTCAAACTGATGAAGCCTGTGTGAAAACACTCAAAAATCTTTCTAATTTACATGAAGAAACAATGTCAATAATAAATCTTCAATTAGCTCTTGATGCTCTCGAATCCGGTAATCTACAATTTGGTATTGAAACTCTTCAAACTATTGCTAAAACTGGAACAAATGCAGCAGCATTTTATAATCTTGGTATTTGTTATGAACGAGGTATTGGTGTTGAACAAGATAGAGCTACAGTAAATAATTCTATTGAAATTTTGTTTTTAAATAATATTGTTTAAATTTAAATAGGCATGTGATTATTATCGTCGAGCATCTAGTTTAGGCCATATAAATGCCCAATTTAATTTAACACGTCTTTCAAATCGTATTGATTTAGATGAAAATGAAGATGAAATAATAGAAGAAACAATAACTGAAAAACCAAGTCCACGTTTACGTGATGGTTTTTTTCGTTTTTCATTATCCAATAATTACAAAGAAGATCATTCATTCAATGATAATCAATTTGATTTAACAACCCAAACAATTGCATGTTTATCATAGACATTCATAGTATTTTTTCTTTTTGATTTTAACTTTAGTACGCAGTGAATACAATGTCAAAACTTATAATTAGAAAACCGATGTTTGACTTTAGAAAATTCTTGGTATTTTGTATTTTTTGAGGGTTTGTTTCTTGTTGATTGTTAACATTTAATTTTGTGATTTGTTTGAAAAAAAAAATCAATGCTATTTTTTTTGGTTTTTTTTAAAGATAAGTTTTGTTATACTTATTTTTGCAAACAACATTATTATGAGCAATCTTACTACGAGGTAGAAGCACGTTTGGTTTTACTTATTTATGTAATTGATACTTTTAGGACTCTACGTGTTACTGTACCACATGCGATACGATCAAAAATAATAGCTGGTGGTCAAACTGCACGACATGAAAAAATCAAAGCTATTCTAGGAGAATTACTTCGACACGAAAGGTA